CCTTTCTCCTCCTGGGCTGCAGATGTTTGCCGGCCCTCCTGGGATGCGATTCTCGCATCCTGGGGAGGCCGAAACTGCGTTCCCTTAACCCGCGGATACTGAGTCCCCTCGGGCCCCTGTATCCACGAGTTAACGGATCGCTTCGAAAATGGTGCCAGTCTTCTCCTGGGAGAATTCTAAGACTAATGGCTATCTCGGTTTCACTCCGCTATTCTTTCTGCCCTGGGAATAACCTTTTTTTGTTCCAAAGACTTCAACCTGGAGCCCAGCTGTTCTTCCAAGGTTGTTGCCTCGTTGCCACCACTTTGTGGATGTCCAGGGAGCTTGCCGGTCTTGGGCAACTGTCACAGCCACCCCAGAGAGAACCCAAGATATGAGCCGGCCGCCTGGGTCCTTGGCATGGAGGGCTCTGTAGTTCTCATGGCGGATCTCAAACCTCAACATCAGCAGCCGGCTCACAGGGACTCTGTGGATACTGGGACATCTTTCCCCACTTGCCTTTTTCAGATTTTACAACTTTGGACAACTTTTTCAAACTTTCAAGGACTTTGCAAACTTTATGGAACTTTTCCCAAGCCCTATGGACTCCCTTCTAATGATCAAGGGATGTTATGATTTTATGCTTATGGACTTATTCTTTTGGACTCTAGTGGGTGGGATGGGTGTATGAAACTCCCCAATGCCTTATTATTCCTTATGTATCTCCCCTAACCCCTGTGTGTATATGAAATACTAGCTGCCCCCCTGCCACCAAACTTCCCACACAGAACTCCCATGAGCAACAGAAAATACTGGAAGGGTTTGGTGGGCACTGACCTTGAGTTTGGGAGTTGTAGTTCACCTACATCCAGAGAGCACTGTGGACTCAAATGATGGATCTGGACCAAACTTGGCATGAATACTCAATATGCCCAAATGTGAACACTGGTGGAGTTTGGGGAAAATAGACCTTGACCTTTGGGAGTTGTAGTTACTGGGATTTATAGTTCACCTACAATCAAAGAGTATTCTGAACTCCACCAACGATAGAATTGGGCCAAACTTGGCACACAGAACCCCCATACTAACAGAAAATACTGTGTTTTCTGATGGTCTTTGGCGACCCCTCTGATGTCCCCTCACAACCCCCCCAGGGGTCCCGACCTCCAGGTTGAGAAACACTGCCACAGATTCAGGAAACTGCGGGAGATGATGCAGATCAAGAATAGGGCTCCATAGTCACCTATGGACCCACCCTGGAGGATTATCCTACTCAGACAACAAGGGATTGCCTGAGTAAGTAAGAGAGATATACACACACACATGGTGTGTGTGTATGTTTGTGGATCAAACCTTTGTGGATCAAACAAACATACACACACATGGTGTGTGTGTATGTTTGTTTGATCCACAAAGGTTTGATTGATCTGGACACATGCCCTTCATGGTCCATCTTAAAATACTACTGCTAGACCTTACTTACTTAGACGACCCCTCGTTGTCTGAGTAAGATGGCCTTCCAACTGTAGGGTCATGGCCGTGGATGTTTACTTGCAACCCAGCCTTTATTTTATTTATTTATTTCATTTATATACCGCTTTTCTCAGCCCTCAGGCAACTCAAAGCGGTTAACAACAGCAAAACATCATAAAACGATTATGGGACCGCTTTTGCCCTTTCTTCTTTCACTTGAGTTAGAAGGCTCCTCAGCTCCTCCTCGCTTTTGGCCATCAAAGTGGTATCATCTGCATATCTAAGATTATTAATGTTTCTTCCAGCAATTTTAATCCCAGCCTTGCATTCGTCATGCAAGGCTGGGGTTAAATGTGTTCTGCATACAAGTTGAATAGGTAGGGTGAGAGTCTACAGTCCTGCCGTACGCCTTTCCCAATCTTGAACCAGTCTGTTGTTCCATGGTCTGTTCTTACTGTTGCTACTTGGTCCTTATACATTATTCCTTAAGAGAAATGGAGGCAATGATACTTTTTCTTAATGGACTCTGCACCATCTTGTGGATGGCTTGGTGTAGTGCAGAAGTCATGTGATTCAAGCTTATATATTTATTTATCGTGTCAGGAGCAAACCAAACAGCTGTATTGCATTTTTTAACAAACAAACACACAAAACAAAAAGTTTGCAAGCTTTGTGATTCAAGCTGAGTCTCTGCAATGCAAAATATTCCAAAATTGTCCCTAACGGTGGCTGAGAGAGTGGCACCCTTGCTTTTCTGATAGTTCAATGCATATAAACTGGGGTATCCACTTACACAAACAAGCTTCCACTTGCACAAATAGCTATAGCTCCCACTACTCAGGAGACACCAAAGGCTCTCCCTCCAGTGACACTGCAGGTTATAGTGAGTGCCATGAACATGTCCATGAACACTGCCAGTGTACTCCACATATGCCATACTGCCCACCACCCAAGTGAAGATTTCCATACGGGGACTATTTCATCCTAGATTTTAAGCGTTTCCTCCACCACAAACATCCCTGAGTTCTTACCCTCTCCATTGGTGTGGAATTTGCATAACCCCGCCCACTGCCTCTCCCTTAACCCTTTCCCATTCATTTCTATGACATACAGCAAACAGAGGAATTGATCAGCAACTGAACACACTAGAGAAGTTTGGAGATAATTTACCATGATTTAAAGGAGTTGTAGGTACTGGGATGTATAGTTCTCCTGCAATCTAAGAGCACTCTGAACTCCACCAATGATGGACTTGGAAATAACTTGACACACAGACAGAGACGGCCCTAGGTAATTTTCAACGGTAAGCAAACAGTATTTTGCCCCCCTCCCCCCAATCACTGATATACATTTTCTGTTCATCGTGGGAGTTCTGTGTGCCATATTCCATCATTGGTGGAGTTCAGAATGCTCTTTGATTGTAGGTGAACTATACATCAGTAACTACAACTCGCATATATCAAGGTCTATTTCCCCCTAAGAACGCCTCAAGAGCGCCCCTGGGCAAAATCAACTATACTGCAAATGCTTACTTTGCGTAATGGGTTGAGCCGCCCCTGCACACAGAACAAAAAGTGGCTGCCAATCCACTTCCAAACTCAATTCAAAGTGCTGGTTTCAACCTATAAAGCTCTATACGATTCTGGCCCAGCTTACTTGTCTGAAGGCATCTCCCTCTACATCTCGCAGTTTAAGACCCTGCTCTTGCTCCCGACAGCGTTACAAATACGTATGCCATGGACAAGAGACAGGGCCTTCTCGGCTGTAGCCCCCGCCGGTGGAACTCGCTTCCCAACAAGGCAAGATCGGCTCCGTCCCTCCTGTTGCTTAGGAAGAAATTGAAGTCGTGGTTCTGGGACCAGACTTTTGGACAGCAGCCATAAATAGCGCTTTGGATATGGAATTTGACTGGAATGGTGATACGTAGGTTAATACAGTTTGTATTGTTTTAATTAATGTTCTGTTTATTGTTTTTATATTGCTTTGTTATATTTAATGGCATCAAACTGTGCCAAATGTAAGCCATCCCGAGTCCCCCTTCGGGGGTTGAGAAGGACGGGGTAGAAATACTGGAAATAAATAAAAATAAATAAAATTTTAGGGATCTTTATATGTTAAAAGGGGAGGCAATAACACAATACTATAAATTGACAGTGTTTAATTCATGTATGATGTGTGTTTAAATGTAATTTTATGTGATAGGATTGTGATTGTAATAGAATTGTATTGCCAGGATGTATTTTGACACAGAAGGGTTAAACAGCAAAGTAACAAGCTGTGAGAATGTGACCCTGAGTTCTTGCTCTGTGGAAGATTAGGGAGTGCCAGAGATAAATTTCCTTCCAGCTGCAGTTTGTATTAGTTCCTATCTCTTTCGGTTTGTGTTCTTCACGTCTGTCTGCTGATGGTGTATGTTGTCTATTTTGAGCTGCTTAAGTAAAGCTGAAAAACCTGCTTTTACCGGAGACTCCAGAGTCCATTATTCTGAGCTTCGGCGATACTCTGCTACACGCCAACATAAATGTCATTCTGATTTCCAGCCCAATATTTGCAAACAGAGAAATCAAACCAATTAAGGATCAGCAATATTGGATCAGCAATATTGGATCAGCTGGGTAAACCGGACCTTGGGTCCGTCCACACAGTGGAGTGAATGCAATTTGACACCGCTTGATGTGTCATAGTTCAATGCTGTGGAATCCTGGGAGTTGTAGTTTGGTGCGGCCCCAGCACTCTTGAGCAGAACAAGCTAAAAACCTTGTAAAACTACAACTCAGTTGGTTCCCATGGCAGCTAAAATGGTGTCTAACTGGATTAATTCTATGGTGTAGATTTACCTGAAGATTAGTAAACTATACATTGTAGGATTCCATATCACAGAGTTAAAGTGGTGTCAAACTGCATTCGTTTTACAATGTAGATCAGGCACTGACAAACTTTGGTCCTCCAGGTGTTTTGGACTCCAACTCCCACAATTCCTAACAGCCTCCCGGCTGTTAGAAATTGTGGGAGTTGGAGTCCAAAACACCTGGAGGACCAAAGTTTGTCAATACCTGGTGTAGATACACCCTTTACTTTGGGGTATAGTTGGAAAGATCAGATTTGGATCCCACCAGAGACATCCAAAAACTTGGCTCTCCAAGGCCATGATTTGTGACCTTTTGAACTTAGGGTATATCGAATAGACTGAATTCAGAGGGATATCTAGCAAAAGAAGGAAACCAGAATAAGGAAGCTGTGGGGATTTGTAAAAAGGCACCATGATGTAAATGGGTTGACTGGAAAGACAACCCATTTACATCATGGTGCCTTTTTTACAAATCCCCATATTGAGCCAGTCAGGAGCCACAAATCCCCATATTAAGCCAGTCAGGAGCCAGTCAGGAGCCAGAATTCCAATTGGCTGCTGTCTCTGGCTTGCTGCTGAGACAAATGGTTTTAACTGTCACTTTTACCCCAGAGAGTGAAGAGAGCGCTGACTGGAAACAGCCAGGAAGGAAATGGCTGCCAACTCTCTGAAGCCCGATCATTTCTAAGGCATTAAGCATATTTTAAAGACTGTTTAAAAGGACAGCTTATTCCCTCTGTTCGCTGTGTGAATTCAGAGAAACTGCTGTATGTATTGTTGCCCTGTTTGACCTTTTGAATTGAAGTAAAGTTACTGTTACTTGTTACACAAGCCCATGTGACACTTTATTATACTGCAGGGTATATTTTGGTTCAGAAACTGTGGTAAAGCTTCTGTTTATTTACATTTACCAACCCCCACAGAAGCTTCTAGGGGCACCGCCAACTCTGACGCTTCCAAGGTTGAATTCCTGCGCTGGTTTGCTTCTCGTTCATCCAGATCTCGAATTCGCAGGTGTGTTTCTGAAGGCAAAAGAGAAATATTGCGCAGAATATTAAAATAATTTTAAGAAGTCTGGTCTAACAAGTGAAGAATACACACACATACAGACATACCTCTTTCAAGGCTGCACTCTCACCCTAGATTTCTCCTTTCCCCCAGGGAGAGGAGAAAGGACCACTCACACTGCAAAACTTATAGATTATGATAGCGTTTTAGGGCCTTATCTTCCTAAAAATCCTGGAATTTGTAGTTTGGGAAGGCACTATATTTTATTTATTTATTTACAGTATTTTTATTCTACCCTTCTCACCCCAAAGAGGACTCAGGGCAGATTACAATGTACACATACACGGCAAACATTAAATGTTGTTTTTAGATCTACAAGACAGACATACAGACACATAGAGGTATTTTGGCATTTTTCAACTTCTGCACCTGTGTTGTAGTTCAGCCTCTGATTGTGTCTGATGTTCATGATGGGAATGGGGATGAAGGGGTTTCTGGCCCTGGGTCTGCTGGCAATGGGGATGAGGGTTTGCCTGGGCCTGAGTTAAGCCCAGACGAGAGGCCCGAGGTGTCTCATGAAGATTCACAAGGTCACATTCCTGGGAGAGGCCCTCAACAGGTTTTATCTGAGAAACTGTCTTCTGAAGATGATTTGTCAGGTGCAGAAGAGTAAAGACAGAAAGCAAGACTTTTGTAAACAGAGGCAAAGTTCTCAGACACAATGAAGGTCAATTCGTTTGCAGGAAAAGAGAGATAAGAAACACTTATCTGTGTATTGTCGAAACTTTCATGGCTAGAACCACTGGGTTGTTGTAGGTTTTCCGGGCTATATGGCCATGTTCTAGAAGCAGTCTCTCCTAGAACATGGCCACATAGCCCGAAAAACCAACAACAACCCAACACTAATCTGGTTGTAAGGGCAAAAGAAATGCTTTCCTTTCAGTTCTGGGGTCAGGAAAAGCTTTATATTGATACACAGGAAACAATTGCCTCAGTCAGGTCAACATTGGAATTTCATGACGACCTTGTTTCCAAGTCTTCTTAGCTTCATGTACCAAGTTTTGCCAGGTTCCAGATCTGTGTATTGGATTTTCATGCTGCCTTGTTCTATGGATTTTGTCCCTTTGAATCTTATGTTTTGCATTGTGTCTTGAAACTCATGGTCTATCCTTTATCTTGGGACTATATTGTTTTTTTACCATTCTTACTCCTTTTCCTATATATATTCTTCAATAAACTGCCTCCAAAGAAGGAGCCTCCACCACACTTCAGGGCAGAGAGTTCCACTGCTGAACAGCTCTCACTGTCAGGAAGTTCTTCCTCATGTTCAGGTGGAATCTCCTTTCCTGTAGTTTGAAGCCATTGCTAGTCTCCAGGGCAGCAGAAAACAAGCCTCCCTCCTCTTTATGACTTCCCCTCACATATTTATACTCGGCCCTCATCATGTCTCCTTTTAGTCTCCCTTAGTCTTCTCTTCTGCAGGCTAAACATGCCCAGCTCTTTAAGCCGCTCTTCATAGGGTTGTTCTCCAGACCCTTGCTCATTTTATGTGCCCTTCCTCTGGACACATTCCAGCTTGTCAATATCTCTCTTCAATTGTGGTGCCCAGAATTGGATACAATATTCCAGGTGTGGTCCAACCAAGGCAGAATAGAGCATGGGTAGCATGACTTCCCTAGATCTAGACACTAGACTCCTATGTATGCAGGCCAAAATCCCATTGGCTTTTCAGCCGCCGCATGACATTGTTGGCTCATGTTTAACTTGTCCACGAGGACGCCAAGATCTTTTTCACACAGTATGCTGAATAGGGGTGCCAAACTATTGGTCCAGAAGAAGACCCTTTGTCAGTGAAGCCCAAAATTTTTGTGAAACTACAACTTCCAGGGTTACACACCATTGAGCCATAGTAGTTAAAGTGTCAAACTGCATTCGCTTACAGTGTAAATGATAAAGGAAGAAAACAGCACAACCCAGTGTGACGTCAAGTCCAAAGCTTTCTTCCAAATCTGGCTCATGAAAACATTGGTTCTCCAAGTGTTTTGGACTTCAACTCCCACAATTCCTAACAGCCTACCGGCTGTTAGGAATTGTGTAAGTTGGAGTCCAAAACACCTGGAGGGTTGAAGTTTGCCAATGCCTAAGTCCACTCACCTGCTGTTTGGCTTCAGGGAAAAATTTACACTTTTTCAGTTGCGCTTCTTGCAGTTCATACATCTTCCTCTTTTTGCATTTTGTTTGCGCCAGTACGATGGTCAGGAAGTATTTGATGCCCTCCACCGCCTGGGGAAGGAAAATAAAACAAAATTCAAGCATGGGCCATTTCTTTCTTGGCTTCGCGTGGAACGGTTTGGAAATCGGATTGTTAATCCATATTGCTGGAATGCTTTGCGGGACTGTCGTGCATCGTCCTGATTCGCCCTGTAAATAAGGCAACAATAAACAGAATCATAGAGTTGGAAGGGATCCCCAAAGGTCATCCAGTCTGACAGGAATCCCTGGTGGCGCAATGGGTTAAACCCTTGTGCCGGCAGGACAGAAGACCGACAGGTCGGAGGTTCGAATCTGGGGAGAATGTGGATGAGCTCCCTCTGTCATCTCCAGCTCCCCATGCAGGGACATGCGAGAAGCCTCCCACAAGGATAGTAAATAATCAAAAACAGCCGGGCATCCCCTGGGCAACGTCCTTGCAGACAGCCAATTCTCTCACACCAGAAGCAACTTGCAGTTTCTCAAGTTGCTCCTGACACACACACACAAAATTATATATTAGTATTACTATATTATAATTATTAGTATTACTGTATTATACTTGTTCATTCGTTCAGTCATTTCCGACTCTTCGTGACCTCATGGACCAGCCCACGCCAGAGCTCCCTGTCGGCTGTCACCTCCCCCAGCTCCTTCAGAGTCAAGCCAGTCACTTCAAGGATGCCATCCATCCATCTTGCCCTTGGTCGGCTCCTCTTCCTTTTTCCTTCCATTTTCCACAGCATTTCCCCCTATATTATTTTATAATTGGAACCACTGGTGGTGCAGTGGGTTAAACCGCTGAGCTGCTGAACTTGCTGATCAAAAGGTCACAGGTTTGAATCCAGGGAGCAGCATGAGCTCCCGCTGTTAGCCCACGCTTCTGCCAACCTAGCAGTTCAAAAACATGCAAATGTGAGTAGATCAATAGGTACCACTCTGGCGGGAAGGCAATGGCGCTCCATGCACTCCTTCCTTGGAGGCTGGATGGTCATCTGTCAGGGATGTTTTGATTGTGCTTTTCCTGCATCAAAGGGGATTGGGGTAGATGGTCTGTGTGGTCTCTTCTTTAAGTCAGAAGTTCTTTCTCATTGTATTGTCAAAGGTTTTCATGGCCAGAATCACTGGGTTGTTGTAGGTTTTTCAGGCTGTATGTCCATGTTCTAGAAACATTCTCTCCTGACGTTTCACCTACATCTGTGGAAATCATCCTCAGAGGTTGTGAGAATCACAAGTGCTATATATATATATATAGTATATGTGTGTGTGTGTTTCTGTTGGTGGTACTGAAATTAGTGTCTTAGAATGGAAGAAAAATGGTATCAATCTATATCAGTGTTTCTCAAATTGTGCTCCTCCAGGTGTTTTGGACTTCACAACCTCTGAGGCAGACATCCTCAGAGGTTGTGAAGTCTGTTGGAAACTAGGAAAATGGGGTTTATATATCTGTGGAAGGGAGGGAGAAAGAACTCTTGTCTCTTGGAGGCATGAATGTTTCTTTTTATATATTTTTTTATTGAATTTTCACCAAAATGTACATGAAAACACATACATCCCCCATCACCACACCAAATCCCCCAAACCCACAAAAGACACAAGACATAAACAACACCCTAACCTACACCCTAGTGTGACTTCCCTTCTTCTTACTTTCCTCTAATTTTTTTTCTGTCATCCCCTTTTGACTTCTTCATTCCAGCTTCATTTATTAATATGTTAACAAGGGGACTATATACATTACTTCACACTCTCTTTTTTAGATTTCATTTATCCAATCTCTCCTTTCTATATATTCTTCCATAAGTTTCCAGTCTGTTGGTTTCATACCTCGTCCATTGCTTTGTCTTAACCAATATGTTAATTCATCCATATCTTTAATATCAGTAATTTTTTTAATCCAGTCCATTTTTTGAGGGATTTTTTTCCTGTTTAGCTAGAACCATTCTTGCAGCTGTGGCAAAAAAGGTGAATAGTTTCTCTTTATTTTTGTCTTTAAATATGTCCGAGTCGAACATACCCAATAGAGGCAGGTATGAATGTTTCAATTGGTCACCTTGATTAGCATTTGATGGCCTGATAGTTTTTAGGTGTGGCTTGTTACTGCCTGGGGGAATCTTTAGTTGAGAGGTTATTAGCTGTTCCTGCACATTCCATAGAAATATACACCCAATTTTCCTAGTTTCCAACAGACCTCACAACCTCTGAGGATGCCTGCCATAGATGCAGGTGAAACCTCAGGAGAGAATGCTTCTAGAACATGGCCATACAGCCTGAAAAACCTACAACAGCCCAGTGATTCCGGCCATGAAAGCCTTCGACTTTAAGAAGAGCTGTGCAGCAGTGGAACTCTCTGCCTCGGAGTCCAGTGGAAGCTCCTTCCTTGGAGGCTTTTAAACAGAGGCTGGATGGTCATCTGTCAGGGATGCTTTGATTGTGCTTTTCCTTCATGGCAGGGGGTTGGACTAGATGGCTCATGTGGTCTCTTTCAACTTTATGATGCTATGAGTCTGGGCTCCATATTCCAATGTCCATTGATTAACTGGGAAAATGGTTTCCTTTGGAGAGTGAAAGGGTGGAAAATCCTACCAATGGACCCAAACGTCTCCCATACCGGGTCTTCCGGTGTGCTTCTGGTGTCCTTACCTGGCTCTCTGAGTTCAGGATGTTCTGTGGCTTGAAATAATACTCGCTGCCAGTGTGCCTGTTGTAGGACTTGACAACCAAGGCCACGGCCTTCTGGACCTCGGGGTTGGAGGTGGGCATTTTCACTCGGGGGACCTCCGCTGCAGTGCCCACTGGGTTCACCACCAGGAGCAGGAAGGAGAGGGCACAGGCCAGGAAGCTCACCTGTGCCATGGCTGGGCTGTAGCAGAATGGGCAGAGAGGTGGACCAGCTTTGTTTATAAAGAGGGAGTGACCACGCCCAGCTTGCCAGGCCAGCCAATGAATGGACAGAGGAAGAAGGAGAAGCCACACCCACTGGTTGAGCCAACCAATGAATGGGCAGCAAGAAGATGAATGAGGCAAGAGGCTGGAGTCCATCCATTGAGCCACCCAAGAAATGGGCAGCTAAAGGATGACTCAGCAGAGAATGCTGATGAGGCCACGCCCACTGATGGGAAGGCCACGCCCACTAAATGAAGAATGCCCACCTGGGGATCAAGCATGGGCAAACTTCGGCCGTCCAGATGTTTTGGCCGTCCAGATGTTTTATTATTATTATTATTATTATTATTATTATTATTATTATTATTATTATTATTATTATAGGAGCCCCTGGTGGTGCAGTGGGTTAAACCCCTGTGCTGGCAGGGTTCGAATCCAGGGAGAGGTGGATGAGCTCCCTCTATCAGCTCCAGCTCCCCATGCGGGGACATGAGAGAAGCCTCCCACAAGGATGATAAAAACATCAAAGCATCCGGGCGTCCCCTGGGCAACGTCCTTGCAGACGGCCAATTCTCTCACACCAGAAGCAACTTGCAGTTTCTCAAGTTGCTCCTGACATGACAAAAAAAATTATTATTATTATTATGCAAGTGCAAAAGCTTACACGATACAAGGATTTAAAAATAGAACTGCAAAGACTCTGGCACAAGCCAGTCCAGGTGGTCCCAGTGGTGATCGGCACACTGGGTGCAGTGCCTTGGCCTGCACTTAAAAACAATTGGCGCTGACAGAATTACCACCTGTCAGGTGCAAAAGGCCACCCTACTTGGATCTGCACTCATCATTAGCCAAAACATCACACAGTCCTAGACACTTGGGAAGTGTCCGATGTGTGATCCATTACAACAGCCAGCAGAGTAGTCTTGTTTACTGGGTACTGATCTTGTTGTATTTTAAATAATATTTTTTATTATTTTCTAAAAACATTTGTGGTTGAACTTGTTCTTGATGCATGGATGATGCGACAGGTACAAGTTCGCCCCATAAATTCTGGATCAGGTTGGACTAGTTATTGAAATTAGCTCCTCCCAATTATTATTGGAGAGTCTTAGTGGGTTTTTAATGTCATTACATTTGCAGTTTGTGACCATTGAGGACTATTTCTGGCATCGCAAAGTCCGTTTTTCAGAGCATCCATTAACCCTTGCACTACAATCATATCCCGTTCCACTAAGAACTGCTGCCTCCAAATCATAGGTTAATATACTCATGAATATTCAGTCCAATCATGCGTAGTCCACGTTTGACCAGTCCACATACTGTTTTGCCAGAGAAAAGATATGCCACGCAGATAATCAACAAAGAAGAAGAAGTTTACTCTTTGTAATGAAGAACAACATGTGAACAGCTCCATTGACTCACCCAATGTCCTTTTATTTATTTACTTATTTACCATATTTATATACCGCCTTTCTCAGCAACTCAAGGCGGTTTACATTCGGCACAATTTGATGCCCCCCCAACATATAAAATACAATTATGGCCGGGGGGGGGGGGGGGGGGTAGAAGACAGTTCCACCTTGTCTCCTGTGCTATGCTAATAATATAATATAATATAATATAATATAATATAATATAATATAATATAATATAATATAATATAATGAGGGAAGAGGACAGTTCCACCTTGTCTCCTGTGTTATGCTAATAATATAATATAAAATAATGTAATATAAAACAATATAATAAAATATATAGTATATACATATAATATTTATAATAATATAATGTAATGCAATATACTACTACTAATAATATGATATTATAATTATATATATTATATTACATGTAATATTACTAATAATATTGCAATACAATAATATTGCAATACTATTGCAATATTGCAATACTAATAATATTGCAATATAATACAATATAGCAATATTTAATACTGATATTGTGCTATGTTAATGAATGGATGGATGGATGGATGGCATCCTTGAAGTGACTGGATTGACTTTGAAGGAGCTGGGGGGTGGTGACAGCCGACAGGGAGCTCTGGTGTGGGCTGGTCCAGGAGGTCACGAAGAGTCGGAAACTACTGAACAAATGAACAACAACAAATTATGCTAATAATATAATATATTGTGATATATATATATATATATATATATATATATATATATATAGTAAGCCGTCCTGAGTCTCCTTCAGGGTGAGAAGGACGGCATATAAATGTCGTAAATACGTACATTAGCATATAAAATGGGAGTTCGTAGAAAGTCAATAAAAACATAAATCCTTAGCATCTCCTTACTGAGCAGTGTTTCTCAACCTGGAGTTCGGGACCCCGGGGGGGGGGGTCTTGAGGGGGGTGTCAAAGACCATCAGAAAACATAGTATTTTCTGTATTGTCGAAGGCTTTCATGGCTGGAATCACTAGGTTCTTGTGGGTTTTTTCGGGCTATAGGCCATGTTCTAGAGGCATTTTCTCCTGACGTTTCGCCTGCATCTATGGCAAGCATCCTCAGAGGTAGTGAGGTCACTACCTCTTAGGATGCTTGCCATCGATGCAGGCGAAACGTCAGGAGAAAATGCCTCTAGAGCACGGCTATATAGCCCGAAAAAACCCACAAGAATATTGTATTTTCTGTTGGTCATGGGGGTTCTGTGTGGGAAGTTTGGCCCAATTCTATCCTTGGGGGAGTTCAGAATGCTCTTTGATTGTAGGTGAACTATAAATCCCAGCAACGACAACCCCCACATGTCAAGGTCTAGCTCCCCCAAACTCCAGCAATGTTCACATTTGGGCATATTGAGTATTCGTGCCAAGTTTGGTCCAGATCTATCATTGAGTCCACAGTGCTCTCTGGGTGCAGGTGAACTACAACTTCAAAACTCAGGGTCAATGCCCACCAAACCATTCCAGTATATCCAGACATGGGAGTCTTTTTGTGCCAAGATTGGTTCAATTCCATCACTGGTGGAGTTCGGAATGCTCTTTGATTGTAGGCGAACTATAAATCCCAGCAACTACAACTCCCAAATGTCAAAATCAATCCTCCCCCCAACCCCACCAGTATTCAGATTTGGGCATATTGTGTATTTGTCCAATTTGGTCCAGTGAATGAAAATACATCCTGCATATCAGATATTGACATTACGTTTCATAACAGTAGCAAAATTACAGTTATGAAGTAGCAATGAAAAACACTTTTCCTCTGCAATGATAATTTTTCTCAATGGATTCTGCACCATCTTGTGGATAACTCGGTGTAGTGCAGAAGTTATTGTGATTCAAGCTGAGCAATCCAAAAAATTCCAAAATTGGGTTGTTGTAGGTTTTTCCGGGCTATATGGCCATGTTCTAGAGGCATTTTCCCCTGACGTTTCGCCTACATCTATGGCAAGCATTCTCAGAGGTAGTGCCTTCGACAATTCCAAAATTGTCCTTATCGGTGGCTGAAAGAGTGTCACCCCTCCTTTTCTGATAGTTCAATGCATACAAACTTTGTACTATTTATTTATTTATTGTATTTATATTCTGCCCTTCTCACCCCGCAGGGGACTCAGTGCGGATTGCAATGCACATATACATGGCAAAGATTCAATGCCATTTAGACATAGCACATCTATAGACAGACACAGAGGCAATTTAACATTCCAGCTTTTCTGGCTTCATGAGGGTATGCTCGATTCTGGCCACAGGGGGAGGTGCCGCTTCACTGTCCACTTGTGACACCGAGTCCTTTAATGGAATACTTCCTCATTCTTCTGCATGCTTCTGGAAGGTTTTATGGCATCGTGAATTAGTTAAATTAGCCTCCCCGCATAAAGTGGTACCTAAATTTCCTACTTGACAGATGCAACTATCTTTCGGGCTGCATAGGTCAACAGCAAGATAGACTATTAATGGTCAGGAGCTCACTCCAACCTGGGCTGGCTTTGAACTCATGACTTCTCAGTAGTGATTTAATGCAGCTGGCTACTAACTAGCTGTGCCACAGCCCGGTATAGGGTTACAGGCTGTGCTGGACGGGGTTACACTCCCCCTGAAGACACAGGTTCGCAGCTTGGGAGTTCTCCTGGACTCATTGGTCTCTGTGGTGACCAGGGGAACATTTGCACTATTAAAACTTGTGCGCTAGCTGCACTTATGCCTTAGGAAGTCAGATTTGGCCATGGTGGTCAATGCAATGTACTCTACATGGGGCTACCTCTGAAGACTGTCCAGAAGCTCCAAGTAGTCCAGATTTCTGGAGCGGCATACAGGGAGCATAAAACGCTCCTGTTGCATCAGCTCCACTGGCTAGTAGTTTGCTACCGGGATCAATTCAATGGCATTGGCCTATAAAGCCCTGAACTATTCTGGTCCAATTATCTATCCAAACAGAGCTCCGTTTATGAGCCAACAAGAGCTTTAAGATCTGCTGGGGAGGCCCTGCTCTCAGTCCCACCCCCTTCGCAAGCACAACTGGTGGGGACGAGAGACAGAGCCTTTTCGGTGGCGGCCCCTCGGCCGTGGAACTGCCTCCTTAGTGGAATTATATTGGCTCCATCCCTCTTGGTCTTCAGGAAAAAGTTAAAGGCCTGGCTTTGCACAGAGAGTAGTGTAATCTGGAATCTGACCTCATTCAGCTTGAATAAAGACAATGGGATAGTTAAGGAGCATGGAAAACCAAGACTCTGCACTTTAAGCTGTTTGAAAATACATCACACAGTCCTAGACGCTTGGGAAGTGTTCGACTTGTGATTTTGTGATACGAAATCCAGCATACAGATCTCGTTTGCTGTGACATACTGTGCTTTTGTGTCAGTAAAACAACAATAATAAATCTTTTTTTTATATCCCGCATTTCTCCCGATCTTCCTCTTGTGGTTGCATCTGAGTGTGCTAACATTCCTATAATAAGGGCAGTAGTAACTGGTACAAACAAACAGTTTTTATGTATACACTGCACTCTAGTGGTTATATCTGGGTGCTACATACATATGTATTATTTCGGGAGGGAATAATGTAGGAATCTTTTCCCTATAAAGATATGCATGTGCATACTTTGACTGTCGTAGAGATTATTATGATTTATACCCTGTGTTCCTCTCTTAAGACTCAAAAGCAGCTCACAATACACATACAGACACATAATAAAAGTGAACATATGTATGTGTGTATGTGGCAGGAGTGTCCCACAAACAAAGACAGGCTCCTGCCTCCACAAACAGCTATAGCCGCAATCACTCAGGAAACACCAGAGGCCCTTCCTCTAATGACACTGCAGGTTATAATGAGCACCATGAACATACACAAGAGCCCTGCCTGTGTCCTTCACAAACACCATACTGCCCACCACCCATGGGAAGGCTATCATTTGGGGACAATTTCATCCTAGATTGTATGTGTCTCCTCCACCAGAGACATCTCAGTGTTTCTGACTCTCCCCAATAGTGTGGAATCTGCATGTTCCTCTCCCTTTCCTATGCCACATAGTAAACACAGGAATTGATCAACAACTGAACATACTAGAGAGGTTTGGGGAGAATTCACTACAAACTTCAGGCTCAAACCCAGAACCTTAATCCATGGCTGGTACCAAATGGGAGACTCCCCCCTGGGCACACAGAAAAGTGGGCGACTTGGAAGGCGCTGAACAGACTGCGCTCTGGCACCACGAGGTGCAGAGCCAACCTTAGGAAATGGGGCCACAAAGTGGAATCCACAACATGTGAATGTGGAGAAGAGAAAACCACTGACCACCTGCTGCAATGCAACCTGAGCCCTGCCACATGCACAATGGAGGACCTTCTTGCGGCAACACCAGAGGCACTCCAAGTGGCCAGATACTGGTCAAAGGACATTTAACCAACTACCAAGCTTGCAAACTCTGTTTTGTCTGTTAAAAAATTGTTTAAAATGTAATACAATTGTCTGGTTGATACTGACACAATAAATAAATACTACAAACTTGCCCACCTTTTCAATAACCTGGGAACCACTGGGTCCCCAAGCTAGTCAATAATAAAACATAATACAACTAAAAGATAGAAACATATACAATCAAAGTGATAAAATATTAATATAAAATATAATAAAATAAGTTGTAGTTAATTCCATGACAGCTTTTTAAAATCTTTTCCCAAAATTGCTGGGCGATGCTGCATTCCCGTCACATATGTTTGCACCCAATCTCCAGCATTTTTGCATTGGATGTTTGAAACTTTTTCAAAATGCTACTAATGAAATATTTTCCTTGTTAACACTTCTTCCTTTAGCAAATATGGACTTTGGCACTTTTTTATATCCGAGAAAACTAATCTCCCGTGATTGAAATACCAGCCTCTTCCCTGTTCCGCTTGGCACTCATTCCTTGTGCTTGTTTGCATCATGACGCCAACCAAAACATTATGAAGAACTTGAAAGATGCGGGAAAAGTTCCTTTCCAAAAAGAAGATTTTAGAAAACCTACACAATCCCCACCTCAACTCTGGGCATGGGATCCCAAAATAACAGACCTGTGACAACTTTGCAAAAGTGAGTGTTACAATCTGAATGGGATCAGCTGTTCTCTTCATTTCTATACTACAATTCCCATCACCTCTCACCACCGGCTACTGAAAGTCACCTGGGAAGGTCAAGAGCTTGAACGTTGTTTCCATCCCAAATATCTTGGTGTCACCTTAGATTGAACACTAACATTTAGGAAACACTGTATGAACACCAAGCACAAAGTTGCTGCACACAATAACATCCTGCGGAAATTTACTGGCAGCACATGGGGTGCAGACCCAAAATTAATCAGAACGTCAGGCCTGGCCTTGTCTAACACTGTTTGACACAAGTCTGCCCACTGAACGAATAAGCAACAAATAATGAGGGAGGCTTCGTCCTATAGACATACACATGTAAATACTATTGACTGTCATAGAGATTGTTATGGTTTATCTCAGGCATGGGCAAACTTGGGCCCTTTGGTTGTTTTGGACTTCAACTCCCACAATTCCTGGCAGCCTCTGGCCCTTTTCCTTTTTCCCCTCAGCTGCTTAAGCGGAAAAGGAAGGGGCCTGAGGCTGTCAGGAATTGTGGGAGTTGAAGTCCAAAACACCTGGAAGGCCCAAGTTTGCACATGCCCAATTTTTACCCTGCGTTCCTCTCTTAAACAAGACTCAAAAGCGACTCACATTATCAAATAAAGCCACTGGAATGGCTTTTATTAGTTGTTATTGTATAATGGGACTGTATTAACTATTTATACCTGTCGCTGCTATGTATTTTACCTTACTATGTGTATTGCTGGCATCTAATTGTGCCTTTTGTAAGCCGCCCTGAGTCCCCCTTCGGGGGTTGAGAAATGTTCGAAATAAAATAAATAAGAGAGCAGTACGTGTGAAAAAGATCTTGGAGTCCTCGTGGACAACAAGTTAAACATGAGCCAACAATGTGATGTGGCGGCAAAAAAAGCAAATGGGATTTTGGCCTGCATCAATAGGAGCATAGTGTCTAGATCTAGGGAAGTCATGCTACCCCTCTATTCCGCTTTGGTTAGACCACACCTGGAATATTGTGTCCAATTCTGGGCACCACAATTCAAGAGAGATATTGACTCTAAGCTGGAATGTGTCCAGAGGAGGGCGACTAAAATGATCAAGGGTCTGGAGAACAAGCCCTATGAGGAGCGGCTTAAGGAGCTGGGCATGTTTAGCCTGAAGAAGAGAAGGCTGAGAGGAGATATGATAGCCATGTATAAATATGTGAGAGGAAGCCACAGGGAGGAGGGAGCAAGCTTGTTTTCTGCTTCCTTGAAGACTAGGACGCAATGGAACAATGGCTTCAAACTACAAGAGAGGAGATTCCATCTGAACATGAGGAAGAACTTCCTGACTGTGAGAGCCGTTCAGCAGTGGAACTCTCTACCCCGGAGTGTGGTGGAGGCTCCTTCTTTGGAAGCTTTTAAACAGAGGGCTGGATGGCCATCTGTCAGGGGTGATTTGAATGCAATATTCCTGCTTCTTGGCAGAATGGGGTTGGACTGGATGGCCCATGAGGTCTCTTCCAACTCTTTGATTCTATGAAATAAATAAATAATGCAGTTTAAACCTCAAACATAGAAGTTTGAGGTTTATGCAGGAGTGGCATTTGTTACTCTTGCCTCTGGCATAGCCAGCGGTTTATTTATTTCATATCAAAAGCATTCCAAAAATTAGTTTAAAAACTGATAAAAATAGAAGCAGCACAAGCGGCTCAATATCTTTTGACCAAAAACAGGCAACAGTGACAGTACTGTCTGTAGCCTCCAACAATTCTTCCTCTGTACATGAGGCAGGGCATAGTGGACAAGCATACAGAAGCGGAGTTGTCTGTTCTGCTCCACAATCACATAAGGTGTGGGATTGTTCTAGGGAGTGCCGTTTTGCTACGTTGTCTTTTGATCTGCCCCCTCCACCTCTGAGCCTATTGAGAGACTTCCAAGTTGCCCATTATTGGTTTGCCCCTGGGGGAAGACCCTCCCTTGTGGGGGGCTATCCAGCTGGGATTTCCTGGTTTAGCTGCCCAGAGGGATACCCCTGCTATTGCTGGAGGGATGGCAACAGGAGTGGTGGTTCCCATGAGCTTTTCCTGGATTTGAGTCTACTGGGAGGAGGCTGGTAGCCATGTAGTTGGTGGCTTTCACAGTGTTCAACCTTATTTCTCTCAGTTGGCAGCAACTTCCTGTCACACATCGGTGGGGGGGGGGGGGATGCCAGCCAATTTGTAGTTTATCAACAGGTATAGGTTTAAGACATCCTGTGATTATTCTGCATGTTTCGTTCAGTGCTAGGCTCACCTGCTTTACATGGGCAGACTTGTGTCAAACAGAGCTGGATATTAGAGGCAAAGATTAACTACTTTGGCCACATAATGAGAAGACAGGAAATCTTGGAGAAGACAACGTTGTGGAAAATGGAAGGAAAAAGGAGGAAGAGGGGCCGACCAAGGGCAAGATGGATGGATTGTATCCTTGAAGGGACTGGCTTGACTCTGAAGGAGCTGGGGGTGATGACGGCTGACAGGGAGTTCTGGCGTGGGCTGGTCCATGAGGTCACAAAGAGTCGGAAGTGACTGACTGAATAAACATCAAAAATGAGATATTAATTGAAAACCTATAGAGCAAAAGGTGCTGCTGGATGTCCCTCCCACAAAAACAAAGGTTTTATTGCAGTTTAATAGAGCTTCCCCATGCTTTTATGACAAACACCTTCATACATAGCGTTAACTACTGGCAATGTGACCTACTACGAGGCAACAATCAAATAATAATAATAATGGGTTATTGTAGGTTTTTTCAGGCTATATGGCCATGTTCTAGAAGCATTCTCTTATGACGTTTCACCTGCATCTATGGCAAGCATACTCAGAGGTAGTGACCTCACTACCTCTGAGGATGCTTGCCATAGATGCAGGCAAAACATCAGGAGAGAATGTCTCTAGAACATGGCCATATAGCCCCAAAAAAACCTACAATAACCCAGTGATTCCGGCAATAATAATACTTTTGAAGCCATACTGGTTCCCTTAAGACTTTTCAAAGAGTCAGCACAGCAAAAGGAGGAACAAAAAATCCCTTTATTTGCAAGAAAAGACAGACAAATCAAAGAAGATACGGAGGAGTCGCATGAAAGAAAAAAAAATCAAAATGGGGGATTTTGGTTGCAGATTCCTTCCACCCCCATGCAAATTTTGCAGCATGATCGTACTAGGGACATGTGTCATGATCACCATATATGCCTGGGTCTGGCTGCTTTGGTTCTGTGCCATATAGAAGGGAGGTGGGAGGGAGGCTCGGTACAGTTGGGGAAGGTAGTGTAGGTAAGACATCTGTTTTGTGAGGGAAATTGAAATTGCAGTTCACAGACTGTGGGCACTGTGCTTGGCCACTAGGGGGCGGATGGGAGTTGGGATGTTATACACAGGATGCTGGAGCGGGAAAACTTTAGAACTGTCTTTTTAGGATTCTGGAAAGAAGGATTAAAACATTTGTCTCCAGTGTTACATTGTGGTGAGCTTGATTTTAACCCCAAGATCTTCTAGTCTGACAGACATGTATACATTTAAGAGCAGCCAATATTTATTTTTTTAAGGATGGGACACAGAAGGCTATTTTATAGGTTTTGCACCCATCCAACTTGCTCCCCCAAAGTTTTCCAATTCAGAGGATGAAAATGCAAGTATTCTTGGCTTTGTGGGGAAGAGAACGTATAAACTGCCAGCCATATAGGGACTTACCTTCATTTCCTTCTCCTCTGAGCCACCTGATTGAGATATAGATATAGATATATATGTATATATGAATGTGAATTACTTATTTTCTCCCTACCGTTATGCATTTCCTCCTGGGGTGGGAGCATGACATGGAAATTTATGGAGAAGCATGAAACCATTTGGCATAATTTGAAGTGTCTGGGAAAAATACAATGTAAACATTGAATGAATTGGATGCAATTCAATGGCATAGCCCAGTATCCCTGCTGTTGGGATAACTTCGGGACTACTTCCATAATTTTATGAAGAAACATTGTTTTCCACTCATAATATCTGGGCTGGTGCATAATGGGAAAGTTCTGGGAAATTGCAATTTTAAGCACAGATGAATGAGATAGAATTCAGTGGCACAGCCCAGTATTTACACCAATGAGGTAAAGCAGGATTCCTTCCCCTGATTCTGTTCTGCACAAAAGAGTGCAAGAGCGCATTTGCTTCTCTGCAGAAGGCAACCTCTCCTCCTAAACTACACTAAGCAGTGATTGTTGAAGCGGGTTGGAGCCGGTCCGTCCGTCTTGGGCATTCCCTTAGGAAGTCATCTCTGAGCAACTCATGTGCAGCAACTGCGTATCCTCCAGCCAAGGACGGCTCCAGACCTGGAAGATGCAGACTTGCTTCTGTGAAAAGGGAGACAAGAGGAAACACAGCACGGATGCTTAGAATATAGGCAGTAAATCCATCACTTGTATTTGCTCTGCTCAAAATTCCCAGTTAATGGAGGTCAAAGCGGCCTTTGGAGTCAAAACACCTTGGCAACTACTTAAAGTTGGTGTATACCAAGCATGGGCAAAGTTTGGCCCTCAAGGTGTTTTGGACTCCAACTCCCACAATTCCTAACAGCCTCGGGCCCCTTCCTTTTCCTTGTGAAACTCGGTGGTTGCTGTCACAGGACGTCCAACTTTTTGTTTGTCATGCAAGTTTGATGTTCCCACCTCAACATTTTTAAACTTACTTGCCCACACACAGTACTCGCCCAACAACGCACAGTACTCACATCAACACAATCACCATAAACAGCTTGCATTCTCTGATTAATCTCCTTTGGGGTGACACCTTCTGCTGTCAAGAATTCAATGACTGCACGTTGCTTAAGTCGCATTGGCCATCTGCGCAGGGTTCCATACTTTGCACTTTAACAACATAACTGTTCAATGCTAAGGTTTCCTGCCAAAATGGAACTGTAGAGGAGAGTCCACTGAACAAGCCAGTACCTGCCACATACCAGTACTGCCATCTGTTGAGGAGTTACGAAGGTGGAGGCATTACTTTTCATTCAACCCTCGTAGTTAGTGATAAGAATCTGGCTTCCCAAAAACTTTGAATCTTGGGAATAATAATAATAAAATTTTATTTATACCCCGCCACCATCTCCCCAAGGGACTTGGAGCGGCTTCCATGAGGCCAAGCCCAACAACACATCAATAAAAACAACAAGCAATAGGCAAAATAAACAATACAATTAATATAACTCAAATATAGGCAATAACACACAAGAGTTTAACACTTTATAAGGAGGGAAAAAATACAAAACTTGTGTGCTGTTCACAAGCAGGAGCACAAAAGGAACACCTGCTTAAACTACGGCTTTGGGAAGAAGTGTTGCCATATATGTGTATGTGTGTGTATGTATTGCTTGGTAGGAAAATTGACGTATAGGGTTAGGTTCCTCAAGCATGCGAAACTAGTTTTGGGGTTCTTGCGCCAACACATAAGTCATCTCAAGACACGTCACACCTCGCCCCAAATATTTAGATCACTAGAAAAACAAGGCAGGGAAGTTACATCTGCGTAGGCTAATTGGAATGCAAAACAAAGTTAAATATTTTCCAATGTATCATGACTTTGACTGGTTGGACATTCTCCCCCGGATGGCTGTATCCCACGAAATTTCCAACATGAAAATTGGATGGGGATATTCCAGGCATGGGCAAACTACCCATGGGAGGTCATGAAGAGTTGGAAGCGACTAAACAAATAAACAACAACAAACTGGGGGGAATATGTCATCAGTCGGGGACCCTTCCTCCCAGCACCAACTGATGCTCTGGGCCAGAGTGAATAGAGAGGGGGCCAGGGGACAGTCCCACCTTGTGTCCTATGCTATTCTTATAATATAATGTAATATAATATAATATATTGTAGATACATATAATACTTATAATATAATTGTAATGCAATGTAACACTAATAATAATATGATATTATAATTATATATTTATATCACATGTAATATTACTAATAATATTACAATATAATTTTATAGTATCGTGATGGCGAACCTATCACACGCGTGTCAGTACTGACACGCGTAGCCATTTCTACTGACACGCGCCCACTGGATATTATTTGTTTATTTAATTTATGCCATTTAAAAAAAAATAGGAAAGAAATTATTATTTTGCAATGTTACCTAAATATTAAGGAGTTTCATATTTAAACTGAATGATAAATACTATTACTTTGCTATATTATTCAAATATTAAAATGCATTAAATTAAATGTCAAATTTAAAAATATTTAATTATTAATATTTAGGTAACATTGCAAAATAATATTGGTTTATTTAATTATAAAGTAAATGAATATTATTTTGCATTGTTTCCTAAATATTAAGGAGTTACATATTTAAATTAAATTAAATGATAAATAATACTTTGCTATATTACTCAAATATTTCAGAATGCCTTAAATGAAATGGTAAATTGAATTTTAATTTGACATTTAATTTAATGCATTTTAATTTAATGCATTTAAATATTTTTAATATATGCCTTAATATATATTTATATATGCCTTAAATGAAATGGTAAATTAAATATCAAAATATTATTTTGCAATGTTACTTTATTGTTATTGCATTATTATTATTATTATTATTATTATTATTATTATTATTAGAAATACATTAAATAGCATATTAAATGCAAGAAATACATTTAAATTAAATTAAAAATAAATAATATTTTGTTGGGTTTTTAAAATTATATTTTTAATAAATACTCCAAAAAGGATATTATTTACATCAAGAGAGGTAGAACAACATGATAAGAGAGAAAGTGGGAATTACAATTATATTTTTTTTGTTATTTAGACTAAATATTGCGAAATTATGGGTTTTTTTCTTGAAGTGACACACCACCTGAATTATGCTCAGTTTTTTGGCGAATTTTGACACACCACGCTCAAAAGGTTGCCCATCACTGTTATAGTACAATATAGCAATATTTAATACTGATATTGTACTATGCTGATAATATAATATATTGTATGTATATGTACCTTGTAAGCCTCTCTGAGTCCCCTTCGGGTATGAAAAGGGCAGCATATAAATGTCGCAAATAAATAAATAAATAAATAAATACCCGCAAAATAGCGAGTCCGTGAAAGGCGAATTAGCGAAGGGAACACTGTAATGTTCATCTGGCATGACTTGCTTTTCAGAGTATGGCATTCCTTCCTAAGTAATGGCAGCCCGCCTCCTTAATGATCTGCTCCAGAATCTTTCCTGCTATCGATACCAGGTTGACTGGGTGGCAGTTGTTTAGGTCCTCAGTGAATTCATTAGCCAGATGTTTCTCTACTGCCTCTATCACAGGCATGGGCTGGCATGGGCCCTCCAGGTGTTTTGGACTTCAACTCCCACATTTCCTAACAGCTTCAGGCCCTTTCCTTTTCCCTCTCAGACGCTCGAGTTGGCCCAGGCCTGCTCTATCATGACTCACCTTTCAAGGTGGGAAGGAGCATCTCAATATATCATTGCCAAGACTAATTTAGGTATTATGCAACCAATTATTTTTTCTGGCCTATAAAGGAGGACTCACCTGCAAAACACCTGCCTAACACGTGCCAACTTGGCATTTCTAAGTTGCAAGTTTGTGCCATGTAAACCAAAAATAAAATAAAATCAAGGGCCTATTTTACGCCTCATCAACTCTGATAAGTCTTGTTATTTTATGTGACCCAGTGTAAATGTTAAAAGGTTTAGAGGAGGAAACGGCCGGGACTGTTAAAGACAGGTCCTTTGTAAAATAAACGAAACAGGTGTGCCCTTGGCATGTCACATTTTGGAACAACGCCCACCAGCCACGTACCTCAGAGTCACAGAAGTGTACTAGTCAGAGATCACGTCTATATTCTCCTCTTGGAGAACATGCAAATATTATATGCATGTGTGTGTATATCTAATAGGAGCCCCCGCCTCAGCACTTTAACAGCAGGTTAAAGTGCTGAGATGCTGAACTTGCTGACTGAAAGGTTGGCGGTTCGAATCCAGGGAGCAGGGTGAGCTCCTGCTGTTAGCCCCAGCTCCTGCCAATCTAGCAGTTCAAAAACATTCAAACTACAAGAAAGGAGATTCCATCTGAACATTAGGAAGAACTTCCTGACTGTGAGAGCTGTTCAGCAGTGGAACTCTCTGCCCCGGAGTGTGGTGGAGGCTCCTTCTTTGGAAGCTTTTAAACAGGGGCTGGATGGTCATCTGTCAGGGGTGCTTTGAATGCAATATTCAAGCTTCTAGGCAGGGGGTTGGACTGGATGGCCCATGAGGTCTCTTCCAACTCTATGATTCAAATGTGAGTAGATCAATAGGTACCATTTCTGCAGGAAGGTAACAGTGCTCCATGCAGTCATGCTGGCCACATGACCTTAGAGGTGTCTACGGATAACACCGGCTCTTCGGCTTAGAAATAATGAGCCCCCCCCCCCCCCCCAGAGTTGGACATGACTGGACTTAATGTCAAGGGGAAACCTTTACCTTTACTATGTGTATTTATCGCTAAGTCAAAGTCTATCTGTATCACAGAGGCTGTTGCCATGTAACCGATTGGTCCTTTGTGATCTCACTGGCTTGGACAATAAACCCAACGAGATTCAGCACTCCACTGCAATGGAAGTCTCCATCAGGTGCTGTGTCTCCCACAAACCCCACCCAGCAAGGTCAAAGATGATGGGATTCACAATCCAAAACAAACACAGGTAGACTCCAAGTTGTGTGCAAAGGCAGAACCGAACTGGGTGGGCCGATTCATTTGTAAATCCTGAATACATTTAATTTAGTAAGGTCAACTTCCTTCTCCATGTATTTAGTGGGCAAAAGGGAACGCCACATCTTGTAAACAGATAGGGTGGCCAAAACTTAGGGCTTTTTTATGGGAGTTGAGTTTGAAGCCTGATCTCCTTTGGATCCTAGCCACAAAAGCCCAGAAAATGGTCTCAGCCAGAGAATAAAATGTATTTTATAATTGTATATTATATATGACATTAATATTACTAATATTATTTCAGTATAGTGGTACAGTAGAATACAGTAATCTGTAATATTAATATTATGCTATGCTGATAATTATAATATATTGTATGCCCATATATTATTGGTCATAATATTGTCATACAATATATAATAATATAATATAATTATTATATAATATTGCAGTATAGTGGTATAGTACAATATAGTAAGATACAATACTAATATTGTGCTGTGCTAATATATTGTATACACATATAATATTGATCATAATATTGTAATACAATATATAATTAATAATAATACAAAATATTTATATATTTTATAGTACATGTAATATTACTAATAATATTGCAGTATAGTGGTATAGTACAATACAGTAATTTATAATACTAATATTGTGCTATTCTAATAGTTGTATTGTTGTGTTTGGGCTTGGCCTCATGTAAGCCGCACTGAGTCCCTTGGGGAGATGGTAGCGGGGTACAAATAAAGTGTTGTTGTTGTTATTATTATTATTATTATTATTATTATTATTATACTGTATGTACATATAATATTGATCATAATATTATATTGTAATGCAATATAATGCAATATAATACTAATAATACAATATAATAATTATATATTTTATATTACATGTAATATTACTAATAATATTGCAGTATAGTGGTACAGTACAATATAGTGATATATAATACTCATATTGTGCTATGCTAATAATATAATATATTGTATGTACATATAACTTGTAAGCAGCTCTGAGTCCCCTTCGGGGTGAGAGAGGGCAGAATATAAACATCGCAAATAAATAATATTTTGAAGTAAAGGTAAAGGTTTACCCTTGACATTAAGTCCAGTTGTGTCTGACTCTGGGGGTAGTGCTGATTTCCATTACTAAGCCGAAGAGCCAGAGTTGTCCGTAGACACCTCCAAGGTCATGTGGCCAGCATGACTGCATGGAGTACCATTACCTTCCCACTGAAGCCATACCTATTGATCTACTCACATTTGCATGTTTCTGAACTGCTAGGTTGGCAGAAACTGGGCCTAACAGCAGAAGCTCACCCTGCTCGCCGGATTCAAACAGCCGACCTTTCGGTCAGCAAGTTCAGCAGCTGAGCGGTTTAGCCTGCTGCACCACATCCAATAGCAACCTCCTGGGTTCCATGTTGGATCATAATACGGATTTTATCGCAAACTGTGAAGAAGTTGCTAAACCAAATTTCCCTTAAAATAATCTTAATTTCTTTGCAAGTTGCCTATGGACCCCCTCTTCCCATCAATTGTATAGGATTTTTTCTTAGGTAAAGGATACTCAGAGATTATTTTGCCAGTTTCTTATTTCAAAACATCCCCTTGACAATCTCTCATGCAAGAGCTATCCAAGGCCAATTCTGCTTAGCTTCCAAGATCAGGTAAGATCTGGTTGGTGCCTTTAGGGTACTGACCAGGACTTTACTTAGGTAAAGGTTTTCCCCTTGACATTAAGTCTAGTCGTGTCTGACTCTGGGCTGTGGTTCTCATCTCAATTTCTAAAATGAAGAGCCGGTGTTGTCCGTAGACACTGCCAAGGTCATGTGGCCAGCATGACTGCATGGAGCGCTGTTATCTTCCCGCCGGAGCAATTGATCTACTCACATTCATATGTTTTCGAATTGCTAGGTTGACAAAAGCTGGGGCTGACAGCAGGAGCTCACACCGCTCCCTGGATTTGAACCTTCAACCTTTCAGTTGGCAAGTTTAACAGATCAGCGTTTTAACACACTGCCCCAGACTTTACTTAGGCTAGAAATACTCAGAGGTGGTTTTGCCACGTCCTTCTTTTAGAATAAAGCCTACAGTATATTTGTTTCGATAATGCTAGTTTGCTTTGTTTACTTTATTTTGCCACTGTATGTATTTTATTGTGATGTAAATTTTGTTTTTGTATTTTGCACTTTATCTTTGAGCTGGGCCTCATGTTTGCCGCCCCAAGTCCCCTAATAATAATAAATAATAAGATTTTATTTGTCGTGTCAGGGTAACCATAAAATTATTATTATTAAATTATTATTATTATTATTATTAAATTATTATTATTAAAATTATTATGAAATTATACTCTTTAGAACCAATCTAGTATTGGAAGCTAAGGAGGCTCAGCTATGGTTGGCTTTAAATGGGAGGCTGGCAACAAATAATAATAATAATAATAATAATAATAATAATCTTATTATTTATATGCTGGTCGCTTATTTATATACAGAAGCGACCAGCATATAAATAATAAGATTATTATTATTATTATTATTATTATTATTATTTGTTGCCAGTCTCCCATCTAAAAGCCGACCATAGCTGAGCCTGCTTAGCTTCCAATACTAGATTGGTTCTAAAGAGAATAATTTCATGTTTTTTCTTAGGCCAAGAATACTCCTAACTGGTCCGGTCAGTAACATCCTCCGGAATACAGTCTCCCATCCAAGTCCTAACCAGGGCTGGCCCTGCTTAGCATCTACAATTAGATTGGATCTGATGCCCTTTGGGTCTTCAGATTGGAGTTCTCTTTGGATAGAATATTCAGAAGTGTTTTTTCTAGTTCTTGCCTCTGAAATAAGAGTCAACCGGGATCCCTAGAGTTCAGGCTAAAACCCAGAGCGGATTTGCAATGACTAGAAATGTCCAGAGACTCTTCTCTCTCACCTGCTGCTCTCCCTCCGGAGCCATCTTGCAGTGATCCAGGTCAACGTTCTCCAGATCGGACCCGCCTTTCTTTTCACACGCTGTGCTCACCATTTCCACGGTCAGGGAGTATTTCGTTCCTGCCACAACCTTGGAGAAGAAAAAAAGAGAGACAAAAGGATATTAATGCCGTTGCTTCGCTTAACGTTTTGCAAAACGAAGGGCAGAACTATTTCCCTGCCTCAAGGTGCCTACAACCCCAAACTTCAACAGAGAAGCATGAAATGGACCACGAGGTCAGGAGGAGTCAAGAGTGTGATGCAACGGAAAGAAGTCATCGTTTGCCTCTTATATGTCAGGCCTCACCTGGAATGATCCTGTGTCCAGTTCAAGACTGACTAGTTGGAACGTGTCCGCAAACTGAATATGAGCCAACATAATGAAAGGGATTACAAGCGGAACGTGAGTCAACAGTGTGATGCAGCAGCTTAAAAGGCCAATACAATTATGCATCAATGGGAATACAGTATCTCTAGATTGAAGGAAGGACTACAGGATATGGATGAGTGATATCCGGTCCCCAAGTCACAAACATCCAATTTACAAAATGACTCATAGTTAAGAACGGGGGTGAGACAACAGGAAGGGAGAGGAAGGGAAATTCACTCCTGGAAGAGTTACTATCAGGAGGAAAAGGGGTCTCCACTGAGGCTGATTTAATAGAATCATAAGAGTTGGAAGAGACCTCGTGGGCCATCCAGTCCAACCCCATTCTGCAACACAACTGCTCAGAGCCTGAAACTGAAAGAGGGGCCACACAATTAGCAAGCCATAATTGGCATCATAGAGTTGGAAGAGACTTCGTTGACATCCAGTCCAACCCCCTGCCAAGAAGCAGGAAAATTGCATTCAAAGCACCCCCGACAGATGGCCCTCCAGACTCTGTTTAAAAGCCTCCAAAGAAGGAGCCTCCACCACACTCCAGGGCAGAGAGTTCCACTGCTGAACAGCTCTCCTTAGGAAGTTCTTCCTCAGGTTCAGGTGGAATCTCTTTTCCTGTAGTTTGAAGCCATTGTTCCATTGTGTCCTAGTCTCCAGGGCAGCAGAAAACAAGCTTGCTCCCTCCTCCCTATGATTTCCCCTCACATCTTGATCCATGGCCCTCATAATGTCTCCTCTCAGCCTTCTCTTCTGCAGGCTAAACATGCCCAGCTCTTTAAGCCACTCCTCATAGGGCTTGTTCTCCAGACCCTTGTTCATTTATGTCACCCTCCTCTGGATACATTCCAGCTTTTCAACATCTCCCTTCAACTGCGGTGCCCAGAACAGGACACAGTGTGACTCCAGGTGTGATCTGACCACAGAAGAACAGAGCATGGGGAGCATGACTTCCCTGGATCTAGTCACTAAACCAGTGTTTTTCAACCTTCCGAATGCCACGACCCCTCAGTCCAATTCCTCCTGTTGTGGTGACTCCCAACCATCTACTTATTTTAGTTGCTACTTCACAACTGAAATTTTGCCCCTGTTATGAATGTAAATATCTGATATGCAGGATGGATTTTCATTCACTGGACCAGTTTGGCACAAATACCTGGTATGCCCGAATTTGAATACAGGTGAGGTTGGGGGGATTGATTTTGTCATCTGGGAGTTGTAGTTGCTGGGCTTTACAGTTCATCTACAATCAAAGACTATTCTGACCTCCACCAACAATAGAATTGAACTTGGCACACAGGACTCCCACAACCAACAGAAAATACTGGAAGGGTTTGGGAGTTCTAGTTCACCTACATCTAGAGAGCACTGAGGACTCCAACAATGATGTATCTGGACCAATCTTGGCACGGATACCCAATATACCCAAATGTGAACACTGGTGGAGTTTGGGGAAAATAGACCTTGACCTTTGGGAGTTGTAGTTGCTGGGATTTAAAAATTAAAAAGCATTCTGAACTCCACCAATGATAGAATTGAACCATCTTGGCACAAAAAACTCCCATGACCAACAGAAAATAATGGAAAGGGTTTGGTAAGCATTGACCTTGAATTTTGGAGTTGTAGTCCACCTATATCCAGAGATCACTGTGGACTCCAAGAATGATGGATCTGGACCAAACTTGGCACGGATAATATGCCTAAATGTGAACACTGGTGGAGATGGTGGAAATAGACCTTGACCTTTGGGAGTCGTAGTTGCTGGGATGTATAGTTCACCTACAATCAAAGAGCATTGTGAACCCCACCAACGACAGAAATAGACCTTGATATTTGGGAGTTGTAATTGCTAGGATGTATAGTTCACCTACAATCAAAGAGCACTTTGAACTCCACTGATGATGGAATTGAACCATCTTGGCACAAAAAACTCCCATGACCAACAGAAAATAATGGAAAGGGTTTGGTCGGCATTTACCTTGAATTTTGGAGTTGTAGTCTACCTATATCCAGAGAGCACTGTGGACTCCAACAATGATGGATCTGGCCCAATCTTGGCACGGATACTCAATATATCCAAATGTGAACACTGGTGGAGTTTTGGGAAAATAGACCTTGACATTCGGGAGTTATAGTTGCCGGGATTTATAGTTCACCTACAATCAAAGAGTACTTTGAACTCTGATAATAGAATTGAACCATCTTGGCACAAAAACTCCCATGACCAACAGAAAATAATGGAAAGGGTTTGGTGGGCATTGACCTTGAGTTTTGGAGTTGTAGTCCACCTATATCCAGAGAGCACTGTGGACTCCAACAATGATGGATCTGGACCAAACTTGGCACAAGTACTCAATATACCCAAATGTGAGCACTGGTGGAGTCTGGGGAAAATAGACCTTGACATTTGGGAGTTGTAGTTGCTGGGATTTATAGTTCACCTTCAATCAAAGAGTACTATGAACCCCAAATGTGAACAATGGTGGAGTTTTGGGGAAATAGACCTTGACCTTTGGGAGTTGTAGTTGCTGGGATTTATAGTTCACCTACAACTAAAGAGTACTCTGAACCCCAAATGTGAACAATGGTGGAGTTTTGGGGAAATAAACCTTGACCTTTGGGAGTTGTAGTTGCTGGGATGTATAGTTCACCTACAACCAAAGAGCACTCTGAACCCAAAATGTGAACACTGGTGGAGTTTGGGGAAAATAGACCTTGACCTTTGGGAGTTGTAGTTGCTGGGATTTATAGTTCACCTACAATCAAAGAGCACTCTGAACCCCACCAATGATAGAATTGGGTCAAACTTTGCATACTACCTACATGGCCAACACTGAATACTGGTGTGGTTGGGGGACTGCTTTTGAATTCTGGGAGTTGTAGTTCACCAACACCAAAAAGGAAGAGAAGGGCAGAGCAGAAGGAGAGATCAAAAAGTGTCCCCAAGACCACCCCAACAACAATAACAAATGCTTTAGATCTCGTCCCTATGATAATATTATATTATTATATGCTAAGATCATAACAATGATAAGACCCAAAGCAATTCCCCCACTTTTGGGGGGGTCAGCCTAGATGCCCTCGAGGGCCCCACCTGGCTCTTGGCCTCCAGGATGCGTTCCGCCTTGAAATACACGCGGCTGTTGCTGGCCTTGTTGTAGGCTTGGGCGGCGAACGCTGCCGCTTTCAGCACGTCGGGATCGGAGACGGAGCGGTCCCGCCATCCTCCGACGAAGCCCGGCTGGGAAACCACCGCCGCTCCCAGGAGGAGCAGCGCCCAGGAGAAGAAGGCAAGGCTCTGTCCCCGAAGCTGCGCCATGGCCGGTCTGAGGGCGAGTGAAGCAGCGCGCGCTGGGACGGGGGTATATAAACCCCCAAGCCACGCCCCCTGGGCCCAAGCCAGCCAATCGCGGTCCTGGCCGTGTCCGGGCTCTTGGGAACCGTGACCAATCGAAAGAGGCCGGCAGGAAAACAAACAAAACAAAACAAGGAAGCCACAATAAAATAGACTCACATGGATCAGGGGAGGATGGCAGGCCACGCCCCCTTGATGAGTGGCCACACCCACTGGAGAATTGGTACTTCAATGGTATGTCATTTCCGGAGGCGGGGCAAAGGAGTTTAGTTTAGAACAGGAAAAGGAAACCGTTTGAGAGAAGAGGATGAGAAGTGAGGTAAGGCAGAGGAAGAGAGTGTTGGGGTCCAATCCCTCCTTTTTTTTGGGGGGGGGGTCTGTTTGTATGTCCTTTGGGGATATTATGGGATGGGGGAAAAAAGGATTCCCCTTCCTGGTCCTTTGTGCGGCCAGACACACATATACACACAGAGGCCTTGGCTTGGAAAGGTAAACAAAGGATGCCTCCAGGAGCTTCATCTATGCTGATGATCGTGCCATCACCGCTCAAGCAGGGAGCTTTGGGATGGTAGAACAGAAGCTTTCCGAAGCTCTAGGTGCTCTTACTGCCTACTACAGGGAAAACCAGCTGATCCCCAACCCATCTAAAACACAGACATGCGCCTTTCATCTCAAGAACAGAGAAGCATCCCAAGCTCTGAGGATCACCTTGGAAGGAATCCCACTGTAGCATTGCAGCACACCCAAATACCTGGGAGTCACTCTGGACCGTGCTCTGACCTACAAGAAACACTGCATGAACTTCAAGCAAAAGGTGGATGCTAGAAACAATATCATACGAAAGCTGACTGGCACAACCTGGGGATCACAACCAGACACAGTGAAGACATCTGCCCTTGCGCTTTGCTACTCTGCTGCTGAGTATGCATGCCCAGTGTGGAACACATCTCACCACACTAAAACAGTGGGTGTGGCTCTTAATGAGACATGGTGCATTATCACGGGGTGTCTGCGCCCTACACCACTGGAGAAATTACACTGCTTAGCCGGTATTGCACCACCTGACATCCGCCGGGAAGTAGCAGCCAATAGTGAAAGGACCAAGGCAGAGACATCTCCAGCTCATCCCGTTTGGGTATCAGCCAGCACGTCAACGACTTAAATCTAGAAATAGTTTTCTAAGATCTACAGAGACACTCGCTGGAACACCTCAGCAAGCGAGAGTCCAAAAGTGGCAGGCTCAAACCCAGAACCTCAACCAATGGCTGATACCAAATGAGAGACTCCCCCCTGGGCACACAGAAAACTGGGCAACTTGGAAGGCGCTGAACAGACTGTGCTCTGGCACCACGAGATGCAGAGCCAATCTTAAGACATGGGGCTACAAAATAGAATCCTCAACATGCGAGTGTGAAGAGCAAACCACTGACCACCTGCTGCAATGCACCCTGAGCCCTGCCACATGCACAATGGAGGACCTCCTTGCGGCAACACCAGAGGCACTCCAAGTGGCCAGATACTGGTCAAAGGGCATCTACCAAGCTTGCAAACTGTCTTTTGTATATTTGTTTGTTTGTGCTGTCAAAAATGTAATATAACTGTTCGGTTGCCTGACACGATAAATAAAAATAAAATACCTCAATGCAGATATCACCACTGATTGACTTATTATTTTATTTACTAGCTGTGCCCTGCCATGCGTTGCTATGGCTTAAAGTAAGAAAGAATTTTTGAAGTAGATGTAGCTGTCTCGACTATTATGAAAGAGAGGTACCTACCTATTCCATGCCCCCTTTTTCTTTCCCTTCTCCTTTTTCTCCTTTCTTCCTTCTCTACTTCTTTCTTTCATTGCTTCCTTCACTCTTTGGTTCCATCCTTCTCTCCTTCCTTCCTTCCTTCCTTCCCTCCCCCTTTCTCTCCTTCCCTTCTTCCTTCCTTCCTTCCCTCCCTCCCTATTTGTTTCCTTCACAGCTCTGGTAATAGTGGAGACCTGCATACCCATGAAAGGGTCCACACAGGAGAGAAACCATATAAATGCATGGAATGTGGAAAGAGGTTTAGTCACAGTCACTGTGAACTCATTAAAGGACCCACACAGGGGAGAAACCATACAAATGCATGGAACGTGGAAAAGGTTTCTGTCAAAATGAATACCTGCATCACCGTCAAAAGGACCCACATAGAGGAAAAGCTGTATAAATGCATGGAATGTGGAAAGAGCTTTAGTCAGAGTGACTTTTTGCATGCCTATCAAAGGACCCACACAGGGGAGAAGCCATATAAGTGCATTGAATGTGGAGAGAGCTTTAGTCATGATGGACAGCTGCATTACCATAGAAAGAGCAACTCAGTGGAGAAATCATATAAATGCATAGATTGTGGAAAGTGCTTCTATATCAGTGGAAGTCTGAAATCCCATCAAAGGACCCACACAGGAGAGAAGCCATATAAATGCATGGAATGGGGGACGCCTGGCTCGAGAGCAGTACGTGTGAAAAAGATCTTGGAGTCCTCGTGGACAACAAGTTAAACATGAGCCAACAATGTGATGTGGCAGCAAAAAAAGCCAATGGGATTTTGGCCTGCATCAATAGGAGCATAGTGTCTAGATCTAGGGAAGTAATGCTACCCCTCTATTCCGCTTTGGTTAGACCACACCTGGAATATTGTGTCCAATTCTGGGCACCACAATTCCAGAGAGAGATTGACAAGCTGGAATGTGTCCAGAGGAGAGCGACTAAAATGATCAAAGGTCTGGAGAACAAGCCCTATGAAGAGTGGCTTAAGGAGCTGGGCATGTTTAGCCTGAAGAAGAGAAGGCTGAGAGGAGATATGATAGCCATGTATAAATATGTGAGAGGAAGCCACAGGGAGGAGGGAGCAAGCTTGTTTTCTGCTTCCTTGGAGACTAGGACGCGGAACAATGGCTTCAAACTACAAGAGAGGAGATTCCATCTGAACACGAGGAAGAACTTCCTGACTGTGAGATCTGTTCAGCAGTGGAACTCTCTGCCTCGGAGTGTGGTGGAGGCTCCTTCTTTGGAAGCTTTTAAACAGAGGCTGGATGGCCATCTGTCAGGGGTGATTTGAATGCAATATTCCTGCTTCTTGGCAGAATGGGGTTGGACTGGATGGCCCAGGAGGTCTCTTCCAACTCTAGGATTCTATGATTCTATGTGGAATGAACTTTAGTTGGAATGACTGTCTGCATTCCCATCAAAAGACCCACACAGGGGAGAAGACATATAACTGCATGGAATGTGGAAAGAGCTTCTCTACCAGAGGATATATGAAGATCCATCAAAAGATCCACACAGGGGAGAAGCAATCTAAATGCATGGGATATGGACAGAGCTTCACTCACAATGGCATACTGCATTCCCGTGAAATTCCCACATGAGGGAGAAGCCATATACATGCGTGGAATGTGGAAAGTGCTCCAGTCACAATGGAAATCTGAAATCCCATCAAAGGACCCACACAGGAGAGAAGCCGTATGAATGTACGGAATGTGGGAAAAGTTTCCATAAAAATGTACATCCGCATTGCCATCAAAGGACCCACACAGGTGAGAAGCCAAGTAAATGCATAGAATGTGGAAAGAGCTTTCGTCAGAATGTAACTCTGCATTCCCATCAGAGGACTCACACTGGGGAGAAGCCATAGAATAGCTTGGATTGTGTGAAGATCCACACTCAGAGTGGACTTCACTGTCAAATGAATTGTTTTCATCGTGTGTTCCTGTATGGCAGGGACTTGGTCCTTGCGGTCTGTTCCAGGTCTAGAATTCTCTGCCCTCACAGAGGAGAAACCACAGAAAGAGCTTCAGATATGGCAGAGTAGGTGTTAGGCATCAGTGAATTTACACAAGTCTAGCAGAGGAGTGCTCAATGTGACTTTCCAAGTTGTCCCAAAATGAAACTGTATATTTTCCCAGAGAAGTGTCTTCTGTTTTTCTAGGAAGACAAAAGAAGGGGAGGAGAAAGGGAGGGATAGAGCCCTTTCCCCATTGCAACCATTAATAATGTTTCATCACGACTTCCCCCAAATTTCAAGGTGAACTGCCTCCAAACCCCCCAGTATTCAAATAATCTGGGTTCAGTGCTCTCAGAATGTGGGTGAACTACAACTCTTCAGAATACAAGATCAATTTCCCCTAACCCTGCCCGTATTCAAATTTGGGCATATCGGGGTATTGTGCCATGTTCGGTCCAGATCCATCGTTGTCTGGGTTCACCGTGCACTCTAGATGTAGGGAACTACAACTCTGCAAAATCAAGGACAGTTTTCCCCCTCCCAAATCCCTCTGGGTTTTCTGTGTGCCAAACATGCTCCTGATCTCACTACCTCTGAGGATGCTTGCCATAGATGCAGGCGAAACATCAGGAGAAAATGCCTCTAGAACATGGCCATATAGCCCGGAAAACCTACAACAACCCAATGCTCCTGATCCATCATCTGTGGGGGTCACAGTGGTCTCTGGAAGTGGGAGCCAATAGGAAATGGGCCACAAACATTATCGCCCACGTTTTGTTTATTTATTTATAGTATTTATATCCCGCCCTTCTCACCCCGCAAGGGACTCAGGGCGGATTACAATGTACACATATATGGCAAACATTCAGTACATACTTACCTACATACGTTCACTTTTTTTACATTAAATAATAACTTGAGTACCCGGCGGTGGCCAGATTATTTGAAAAAAAGCATTGTTTGTTTTGTGGTTTTAGGTAATATAATTGAATCAATTAGTAACACGTAACACTATTAGGAAAAAGTCAGAATGTGATTTCATTGGGTGTGTGTACCAAGTTTGGTCCAGCTCTGTCATTGGCTGGGTCCAATGTTCTCTGGATAAGGGTGAACTACAACTCCCATATACCAAGGACAGTCACCTGCAAACGTGCAAATATTTACAATTGGCCATGTTGGGTCTGTGTGCCAAGTGTGGTCCATATCTGTCACCAGCTGGGTTGAGTGGTCTCAGAATGCAGGTGAACAGCAACTTCCAAAATCAAGGTCATTTTCCCCAAAACCCTGAAGTATATTCAGTTGGTCATGGGGCTTCTCACCGACAAAGGGGCTTCTCACCTACAAAGCCCTAAACGGTTTGGGACCCGCCTACCTGCGTGACTGCATCTCCATATATGAACCCACACGTTCCCTTCGATCATCTGGAGAGGCCCTGCTCACGATCCCACCTGCGTCGCAAGTGCGTTTGGTGGGGACGAGGGGCAGGGCCTTCTCTGTGGTGGCCCCCCGACTCTGGAACTCTCTCCCCAAGGACATCAGACAAGCCCCAACGTTGGCAATCTT